CTCCTCTCCTCTCCTCTCCTCTCCTCTCCTCTCCTCTCTTGTGGCATCTGTGTGACACATTCTACAAGTCTGACGGGTATTTTTGAAATGAGGGTGAACATGCTGATGCACTTGTTTCATTCCTGCTTTTGAAAGACTGGGAATGTACTGATGTAACACAATTGGTGCTACTAAGTCAGCCCAGCTCCCTAGGAATGAGACATCTGATCTATGTCCTGTCAAATGCAAGATTATACTACATGTTGATAAATGGTTTAGCACTGCATAGCAAATGTCAGTTGATCAATCAGAGTTAACCAGCTGCAAACTTGCTAAATTCAGGCAATGTCCAGGCAATCCATATTTGAGATGGGCTTCATTAGTGTGGCTGTAACAACTCAGTACTGCAACAGAAGGGAAGAAATGTCAGAAATACGTCAGGTTCTTACCGAGATTGGTGTATCTGTCATTCTGGAGGCAGAAAGAGCAGGGACTAACGTATCAGTCATTTGTTCAGGAAACTGTTTCTAAAGAAACAAACTCTTGCAAAGGAAGTGTTCCCAGACAAAAAGGCTGCAATGTGAGAAACCTTTCTGCCAGGAGAGGTTCTGAATAGTTGTTGGAAACAGCGGTTGGAAAACACTCCATGCTGAGAAAGTTTCTGCATTTCAAGAGGACACTGCTAATTTGCCTTGCTCAGTATTCTCTCATGTAAGATTCTCTAGATTGGCTGATGCCTTGCCCTTCTTTCTTTTGTTAGTTACCTTTCTTGCCCCAATATTCCCACCATGAGCTTTTGGTGAGAATGTTTAGTGAAGAACATTCATTTCTAATAGCCTACTGTGCAATTTAAATGCCATAGGATAAATACAAACAAGCCAAATAAACAAAACAAAAAAACCAACCTCAGATTCCTGTTTGATTTTTGAATCGGGGTAAGAGCTTGTTTTGATTCTTCATCTTTTCATCTTATATTGTAAAAGCAGACTGGCCATCCATCCCGTGTGGCAGGAAGCAATGCTGTAACCCAAGAAGCCATTGTGCTGCTTTTCACAAGGAACCGTTCTTTTTTTTTTTTTTTTTTTTTTTTTTTGTTTGCAGTCATGATAGTAGCACTGGTTCCTCTTTTTAAAGCAGTTAAATTTGTGTTTTGAGAGTGCAGACAGGGGAGAATATGCTTCAACTACTCAAATATTATTTGTGGTGACATGCTGGATTGGAGAATTGGAAGAGTGGAGAGTGTTTCAGCCCTTAATTTCCTGTGGAAAGATTCAGCTGAGGAAGCATTGAATTTTTGGTTTCTCTTTGCTGTCAGCATGGTAGAGGATAGTAGGTCAATACTAGCCTGAGAAGGTTTAAGAATTGACATTTGATAAAAATCAACAGTCTGGGAAACAAACTGAATAGAGGCAATTTCAGTGAACAACTGTTTTTCAGACAAGTTTTCCTGCACCCCAAAGGAAAACCAAGACAGGGATTCGCTAGGAATTGTGGAATGAGGACTCACCTGGATAAAAGAGTACAACTAGCTGGAAATTTTTCTTATATAGGAACTAAAGACATCTCCATTCCTGAGGCAGCTTTGAACACAAAGGATCTCTGGTTCTATTTAAAATGTCCTTTCTCAAACCCTTTTCAAATTGGCACCTAATTTTCTGTACATCAACATCAGGGCATTGGTTCTGTGTTGCAGTACCAGCATCACCTCGTCGTTTCCGTGCAAGCCTGCACCCCTGGCAGTGATCAGGCCTGAGCTAACTTTACTGACCTGATTTCTGGCCCATTTTGCTGTCCAAGATAATGCTGATACTTAGCAGCCTATGGGAGAACATGCACATTTCCTAACTGGCATTCTCCCACTCAAAGATAACTCCAATGAAGACAAAATCTGAACTGAGATGATATTCACTTAATACATATAAAAGTAGATGCCATAAAACACAGCCCACTTTCCACCAGAAATCTCAATGGGAAAATTCAAATATTTCTAT